ACATTAATCAATTAATTAGCTTTTACAATTTCCAAATTAGATACTATATTTGTTAAAGTTTTTGACATATTCTTTTGGGGGGAGTTAATATATTCCCTTTCATATTTAGTTTCTTAAACGTTTTTATCATGAATGAATGATGAACTTGTTCTAATTATTTACTGATTGAATAAAATTTTCCTTTGTAAACCTTGTTTTTTTCTTTAACACCAAAGCATTCTGAAATAACCTCTCCTTGGAGTAGGTTGCTTTTTTTAAACATGGGATTTTTTTGCCATATATATATTAGGCAAGTCAATAGTTTTAAATGAACTATCTATTTTTTCTTCTATTGAGTGCCTGTAGTTTATGATAGGTATATCAGTCTCAAAAAATGACTTGAGTATCTTTATTTCTATTTCTATTGTGATTTACAGGGGTACTTGGTTTTCAGAAGGGTTTAAAAACTCAGTTTTTTGGGGCTCCTGGGTAGCTCAGTTGGTTGGCATACAACTTTTGATTTTGGCTTAGGACATGAACTCGTAGTTTTTGAGTCTGAGCCCCTCATCAAGCTATGTGCTGGCAACACAGAGCCTGCTTAGGATTCTCTCTTTCCCTCTCTCTGCTTCTCCCTCACTTGGGCTCTCTCTCTCTCAGAATAAATAAACTTAAAAAAAAAGAAAGAAAGAAAATTCAGCTTTTCAATCATCTGAGTGAGTCATTTTTTTGTTGTTGATTGTCGTAGGTTTAGGATTATGTGTTAATTCTGTTTTGTCTCTTGGTATAGTTAGGTTTTCTTGTTCTTCAATAGTTAATATTTTGATAATATCTGCCTCACCTCAATTTTCAAAAAGCTTTTGGAATAATATTATTCATAGTATTTCTCTTATTTTGTCATTTATGTTTTATCTCTTGTTTTGATTTTTAGTCCTAACATTACATTTGAAAATGTGATTTTTATTGATTTTGATTAAAAAATTTACCTGTTTTATTAATATTTTAGAGAAATAGTTTTTATTCTATTAGAATGGTTTCTGCATTTTTCTCTTTATTTTCCTATTTTATAGATTACTTATTATTTTAATGCTTAACATATTTTCAGTCTTTCAACTACTTCTGTTACATATATTTACATAACAAGATTACATTCTAAATAATTGCCAGCACCCTTCAGTTTAGCTTGCAATGCTTTATTAACTTATGTAAAATATTTAAGTATTGTCTAATTTTTGACAGTAACCATTTTAGATACTTGTGCTATGCCAATATTAAAAAAAAAAAAAGAAAGTGGCCCTTGACCCTATGGAGCTCAAAGTATTTTTTGGTCATGAGGACAGTGGAAAGAATAAGAAATAAAATGAATATAAATAAGAAAATTGCATGATTTTGTTAGAAAGTGAAGAGTGTCACAGACCATCTAAAACACATGTTGGGATAAGTGAGTGGTGATCCAATGAGATGTCAGATAGGAAAGGTAGAGCATCCATCACTGAAAAGGTGATATTTAAACAAAAACTGAAGAAAAAAGAGCCAAGAAATTAGCTGAGACTTACATAAATAGATAATAAATCTGGCCATTGTTAAGTACAGATTAAAGGGACACAGGGAAGAATTAAAGATACATTGAGAGAAAATGGTGTCTGTGAACAACTGGTAGCAATGAGATTGGACATAACATATATATTTTCAAAGTAGAGAATTTAGGATGTGCTAATGGACTGGATATGGTGTGATAGAGGAGAAGAGTACACAGTTATGATTCTACAATATTTGCCAAGTGGACAGATGATTAGCTATCAGTGCAGAAGAGATGATCTGTATTCAGAGGAAGAAAATATTTTGAATTTGTTATTTTAATGTGTATGAGAAAAGTTGTACACTTCTAACTTGAAATGTGGAGTAGGTTTGGGATTTTTTAGAGTTCAAGAGAGGTTTATGATGGAGAAATAAATTTGGAATCTGTCAACTTAGAGATGCCATTAAAATCATTAGAATGGATGCTACCTCCAAAGAACAAACACAGAAAGAAAAGAGTAGCAAAAGCAGAACCCTAAAGGATTCTTTAGGTAAGTTTAGGTAAAAGAGAAGAAACCACCAAACAAAGATTTAAAGAAAAATCTTTAGTAAGACAAGAAGAGAACAAAGAGAAAGAATCTGGTGTTTTGAAAACAAAATGAAAAAAGAACATCAAGGAAGGAACTATCAGTTGTATCAAAAGCCATGGAAAGTCTGAAATGTGAGATGTGTAAATGCAAAAAATTACCATTTGGATTAAGCACTGAGATATCATCATTTACCTTCACTAGGACTTTTGTGTGCATATGGTACTCTAGTACAAGTCAGAGCTTAGGCCCACTAAAAGACTAAAGAATAGAAGAAGTCAGGGGGGAGTCATGGCTTATAGACTTTAAAGGTTACAGAATTGTGGGTATTGGACACTACACTGAGTTAGAGAGGACCTGGTGGTCACAGATTAGGATACATGAAATTGAAACTATAGAGAAATTACAGTCATCGACAATTGTAAACTCTTTGGGATAACCATAGGAGTAAATGGCTAAAGTAAGGATATGGAGAAAATAACTGGAGGAGCAAAGTTCAAAGCATGAATGGCTAGAGTGTAGGAAGGATTATCCTCTATATATTGAAACTTCCAAGAATTATTATCAAAGTGGTATGTGGAAAAGGAACAGTGAGACTATAGCTAAAATCATTACAAAATGAAGGGTGATGTCCCAGGTCCAGCAAATTGATGATGGTAATGAGCTGTGGTGATTTATACAGCTTGTTGACCTTAGATACAGAGCTGGAGATTTTAGGAAAAGTGATTGTACTAAATTTTGCTGTACAACCAATTAAATAAAGTTTGAGGACCATAAAAACACAGCAAATATTTATTAGAGTTGGTCAGGCATTTAAGAGTAGCATTTCTTCAAGCTTCTACATTGGGAATCTCTCTTATGACATTGCAACTTTTATGTCAGCCTTGACTGGGTCATCTGAATTTTCTACTGGACCTGCAAGATTTACTTCTAAAATTGCTCACTCAAATGATTGGCAAGTTGATCCTGGTGGGTGGAAGAAAATCTCAGTTACTCAAAATGTGGACTTATCTATAGAGCTGGTCTATAGGTCCTCAGGACATGACTGCCAGATTCACAAGTGATTCAAGAGAAAAAAAACAGAGGCTTCAATGTCTTTTCTGACCTACTCTGAAAGTCACACTTTTATCAATTATCACATTGTGGGAGAGGACTATACAAAAGTGTGAATATCAAGAGATGAGAATTATTGGGGATTATATTTGAAAATAGCTACCAAACAGGTAGGAATATGTTCTAAATGTTACTTTGGAAAGAAAAGAATATGGGGGTGGCAGGGTGACTCAGTTTTTTGAGCGTCCAACTCTTGATTTTGGCTTAGGTCATGATATCACGGTTCATGAGTTCAATCTCCTCATTGGGCTCTGCACCTGGGATTCTCTCTCTCCCTCTCTCTCTCTCTTCCCTTCTCCCCTAGTTGTGCTCTCTCTCTTAAAAATAAATTTTACCAAATAAAAATGAAAAAATAATAAAAGAATACCGAGTTCATTTCAAAACAGTCATAGAAGGACTCAGAAAAATAAAGTGACTAGTAAGAAAAAGTTTCCAGTGAGAGACACTATGAGGGAATTCATGTACTAATTAGTGCATCCAGGTGATAGTTGGTGTGCAATGTGAACAAAATGAATGAAAGGACCATTCAGGTAATATGCTGACAGTATAAAGATTTTATAAACAACTCATTCATAACATTGAATTTCAAGAAAAATTAAGAAGTTGATATAGGACTGCAAAAAGAGAAATAGAGATGTACAAAGCTTTACTGGATTCAGGTGTAAAAACAAAGATAACCTGGCAGTTTGTGAAGTTTTTTGGGAACTGAGATAAACAAGGATATAGTGAGATTAGTTCTAGTGGATTTTTGCAGATAGTGCTAACAAGGATTTGAGTAATGTGGGATATGACCTAGGGAGTTTCTGGTTTTGTCTTCATTGAGTAGGCAGAGGTCCAAGGGAAAGTAAGGTTCTGACCCAGTGCTCAAGCCTATCCTGAGGACTAGAAGTTCCTAGGAGAATTGGGCTTAATCCCAGTTGTTTTATAGGAAGGTTTTAGTTGCTCCTGTAGGAGAAAGACTATTCTAGCTCTGAGTTAGTGTGTCCTCTTTCAGTAACTTTTGATGGACTGAATGACTAATGAGGAAACTGGGTTTACACCCATGTGTGGGTCTGTTCCTCAACTGTGAAGATAGGAGTAGAGGGCTTAGGGGAAGTAACATGCTCTCATTTTCATTTTTTGTATCTCCAATTATTTTGTAATTCCTATTCTGATTTCATTTTAACTGGAAGAACTTTTTTGATGTATTTACTTTTAAGTTCCCAAAATGTAACAGGATGGGGAGGGGCTTTTTAAAATCAGTGATTCTTAATTGACTTATATTGTTTTTAAAGATTTATATGATGGTGACATATATGATGATTTATATGGTGGTGACTACTATTGTTCTTACCATTTCTTATAAATTTGACTTTTTGTGCCTTAAAACATGATCACATTTTGGAAAAGGGTTATGTATTTGGTAGTGTTTGTGGGGTTATTACTAACATGTTGAGATCTATCTATGTCAGCGTATAAAATGCATATCTGATAAAAATACATATTTTATATTTCATGTTATAAAATATGTAATATTTATAATATGTAGAATATTAATATATATTCTGTATATAAATGGTTAAATCAGCATTCTTAATACTGTTCTCCTGGCTGATTCATTTTGAGAAAAACTGATGTTAAATATACTCTTATTACTTGAAATCTAACAGTCAGGTATTGTAATTTTTAGTCTATTGTAAAAGGTATGTAACAGCACATGCTTTTTATATCTTGATGAATAATTATATTTTAGATACTGTTTTTCTTTATTTCTATACTATTCTGCTTAAATTCCCATAATATTATTATTTTGCTTTTTGTTTATAGATTTGTCTACAATTGTGCTTGGCCTGTTCCTTGATTTTCTACCATTCTGAATCATTATGATTTAGGTAAGACTTTTTGAAACAGTGCATTGCTGTGATTTTAAAAATACAAGTGATGTTTAAAGTTTACATTATGGTCACTAACATATGTGAAATTGTTCTTATCATGTATACTGTATTTTCTGTTGAGCATATTTTCTTTTTCCCCACAGGGAACCCAGGCAGGTGTGAAATCAATCCAAATCATGAGTTTTAGTCTGCAGAATATTTTAGACTGCAAGAAAATAGCTAGTATCTGTTGAATCCAGTGGGATTTTGTGAGATGGAATTATTGTGAGATCAAATTCATAGTAGTTTATGAGGCAAAGGCAGGGTAACCTGAGACCTAATCTTGACTTCTCCACATTTATTTTATATTTATTTTTAGAATTACATGTAAATGTTATCCCCTAACTTTCAAGCTGTTAAGTACCTTTGTCATGTGGCATGCCACTAATTGCATTAGTATTTATTTGATCACCAAGTTGCTCATATCACAGTCTTTAGAAAATGTATTTTTTTTACAGTAGCTTTTGGAAATCCTTGCTTTCTCTAGTGTACTAGATGCATTGCTTACTGCTTGATTTTGAAATGAAAGTAGATAAGTGCTTGATACTTCATCTCTCTGGCTTCAAACCAAAGCAACTTGTGTCTTAACACTCCAGTATGATTCTAGAGGAGACTTTTCAAACCTTCTTAGGGAGCAAGAAACTCCTTTTTTACTAGTCACTACTGGACATGGATCACCTCTCTGCTCTTCAACTCTTTGGACAGGAAAGGAGATTAGGAGAATTTCTGGGTAATGCCAATACATATTCTCATCATTTCCTCTTTCCCACCCCCCAACAAAACATGCACCAAAGCCATTTGGAGTGATGTCACTCAAGTCAGATTTACAGTGAAGCTAGTGAAGCTTAAACTTCAGGGCTCTACACAGGTGTTTTACATTGACATACGTGTTTGACAGTTTGCAATAATAAGAATTTTCTGTTCTCATTTTTTAAAATAACAACTAGCAAATGTCCAATGCTTATCAACATGGGAAGAATGCATCTAAAATAATCATAAAATGTTAAGGCTTAGTGGAGGTTTATGGTTTAGCTATTTCAATGCCTTTCTACTAACGATGAAGGAATTAGAAGTTTTATATACCTGCCTGAAGTCACAAAGGTTGTTAGCTGCAAAACCAGTGCTGGAATTCCAGTGTCTAAATCCTTAATTGGTGTTTTAAAAATATATTATTCTATTCCTTTGAGAGTATAATGGGCATTATGCTTTAATATAGTAAAGGAGTAAATGATGTGGAGTTGAGTTGATAAAGGAAATTCTCAACTTTTAACTTTTGTGGGTCCTGTTTGTGGGCTCCCAAGGAGCTACAGTATTACTTTTACATTCACCAAAGTCAAAATGACTCCACAAAACTTCAAATCATGGGCTCTGTTTCTGCCCCAAGCACACATTGTGCATCTGCTTCAAATAAAATAAAATAATAACTGAAAAGGAACATTCTAAACATAAAGATAAGAAAAACAAATGGAGAAAAAAAATCCTTCCTGGTTCTCATAAGATTAAAGTTATCTAGCTTGCATATACTAAAAACATAAGATGAAGTCTGTAACTTTCTGAAATGTTTTTCATCATGATGGTTTAGAACTCGTTATGTAAAACAAACAAACAAAAAACATAGATAACCTTGCACTAAACATTCCCTTTCTGTAGCACTGTCTCTTTGTGAAGACTGTGTATCCTGGGCAGGTGCCCTACCTGGGGCTTGAACAAAACTCTTTTCCCTTCTCTCTAAAATTTTAAAAAAAATTGTTCATTTTGTCAACAAGATAGATGCAGATAGAATTCTAGGCCTGACACTTGCTGGTTGAGAAATCTTTACTTCATTTTTTTGTTCTCATCTGTTAAATTCAGTGACATCTGCTTAAAGGGATTGCTTTGAGGCAGTATATGGGAACTTTCGAAGTGATAAACTGCCCAAGTGGCACCTATGCTGTGATGTTCTGAAAAATCTTTGCATAACTATTGTATACTTTAAATTATTTCATAAGTTTAAGGCATTACCTTAAATTATTTCAAAATGACAAAGACAAATGTATCAGTAACAGCCAGCCAGTTACCAGCAGCCTAAAGAGGCTCCCACAAAGAATATACCCTTCTTTGATGTCTTTAAGACAGCTGGAGTATGACCATTAGTGGAATACATTTAAAACAAAATTTTACTAATGTCCTATACCCAACCAAAGAAAGCTTCTACTAAATCAGGAATATTCCTTTCTTGAACATTTTGAAAATGCCTTTGTTTCTGTTTTTCCGTTGGTATATTTAATGGGATTATTAGCTTTTTATCCATTAGTTACCACCATTAGTGTTTACAATATCTACATATGATATAAAATTTATACTATAAACTATATGACAACATGTATAATTTATACATATTATAAAATTATAAACATAATTATTTTATCATAATAAACTATAAAGGCCCTTAAATAAACTTAGACTTCAAGATTCTAAGCTAAAGCAGAATACTTATTAATTTTAATCACATGGCCAGATTTCATTGTTTCTCATTGCCATGTAGTATTCCATGGTATAGATAAACCACATCTTCTTGATCCATTCATCTGTTGATGGACACTTAGGCTCTTTCCATGTTTTAGCTATTGTGGAGAGTGCTGCTATGAACATTGGGGTCCACGTGCTCCTATGCATCAGCATTTCTGTATCCCTTGGGTAAATTCCTAGCAGTGCTATTGCTGGGTCATAGGGGAGTTCTATTGTGAGTTTCCTGAGGAACCTCCACACTGTTTTCCAGAGGGGATGCACCAGTTTACATTCCCACCAACAGTGTAGGAGGGTGCCCGTTTCTCCACAGCCTCGCCAGCATCTAGAGTTCTCTGATTTGCTCATTTTAGCCACTCTGACTGGCGTGAGGTGGTATCTCAGTGTGGTTTTGATTTGTATTTCCCTGATGAGGAGGGATGCTGAGCATCGTTTCATGTGTCTGTTGGCCATGTGGATGTCCTCTTTGTAGAAGTGTCTGTTCATATCTTCTGCCCATTTCTTCACTGGGTTGTTTGTTTTTTGGGTGTGGAGTTTGGTGAGTTCCTTATAGATTCTGGATATTAACCCTTTATCTGCTATGCCATTTGCAACTATCTTTTCCCATTCCGTTGGTTGCCTATTAGTTTTCTGGGTTGTTTCCTTGGCTGTGCAGAAGCTTTTAATCTTGATGAGGTCCCAACAGTTTATTTTTGCTCTTGATTCCCTTGCTTTTGGGGATGTGTCAAGTAAGAAGTTGCTGCGGTGGAGGTCAAGGAGGTTGTTTCCTGCTTTCTCCTCTAGGGTGTTGATAGTTTCCTGTCTCACGTTCAGGTCCTTTATCCATTTTGAGTTGATTTTTGTGCATGGTGTGAGAAAATGATCTAGTTTCATTCTTCTCCATATTTCCATCATTTTTTAAATTTAGAGAATATGTCTTTTTCCATAAACTATCCCTTCAGCAGACTTTTTTTTTCTTTTTGTGATAGTAATTAAGGTAGACTAAAGTATGTATTTGCACACTGTGATGTAGAATGGGAAAGCTAATGTCTGAAATCAACAGCTTTTATAGTAAAAGATGAGCTCAGGCAAACAGGAAAATATGTAGATTAAAAGTTTTTGGGTATGTAAGTATTAGCACTATCAAACACACTTTTACCCAAAATCTCCTGCACTGGAAGAGCTGGATAAAATCTACAGTGCTTAGCCTCATAAATCACAATTTCAAGTTAAGGGTAATTGTCTTGGATTCTATGGTTGCGCAGTCATACCACCTCAGTGACATCAGCCTGCTTCATGCCATCGAGATTTCTCAATGACTGCAACAGACTCGGAACTGTGTTCTAAAATTCTGTCCTTAATACATGTCCTCTATTGTCCTCCTAAAGTATTTTACTTGCTCTGCACTTAAGGGTCTAGAATTATATATTATGTCTGTCCTTCCTTGATAAAATGCAAGCTCAATTAGGGTAGGGATATTTGGAATCATTTTTCATTAAGTATTCTCATAATCGCTGGAACCCAATAAGAACTAACAAATGTTAAATAAATCAATGAATGTTTTACCAGAAAAACTATTTTGATAAAATTTCTAATCTTAACTGTATATGTAAAAGATATGTGAAGGCAGCTATGCAAAAATGCTACCTGAGGATAAAAAGGAAACTAAATGCAAATGCCAGATAAATTGTTTTTGGAAGTCAAACCTAAGAAACAGGTATTTTCATTCAAGTTTGTTTTACAAAGGAAAAATCTAAAAATAACATTAATTTTTAAAGAAAATTATAAAATATAAAGGATCTTGGGGCACCTGGGTAGCTCAGTCAGTTAAGCGTCCAACTTCGGTTCAGGTCATGATCTCATGGTTTGTGGGTTCGAGCCCTGCATCAGGCTCTGTGATGACAGCTAGCTCAGAGCCTAGAGTCTGCTTTGGATTCTGTCTCAAGAAAAAAAAAAATCTTGGCAAGCTAACTAAGAATGAGCAAAACATCACTGCTGAACAAATAATTTAGTAACTAATAAACAGAAATGATTCAGGTAGAAAACTGATGACACAGAAAATGTATGGCAAAGACAAATAGAGGAGATAAGAATTATCAAAACAATAATAGCAATTTAATATAAGAAAATTACTATTTCTGGAATATAAGATATGACCAGTTAAAGAACAATAAAAGAATAAGTGTCCTAAGAAAACAGAAAATTACAATTTAAATCAAAGGGACAAAAATGTTCCAGTACAATTGTTACAGAATAAATGGTGCCAACAAAAACAGTTGGGATATTTGGTGTGTATATATATATATACACATATATATCTATATGTATATCTATATGTATATATAGATATACATATATATCTTTTTAGGCATTCTTACAAAAAATCCCCTAACAAACATAAAAGGAAGACTTCCTTCAGATTTTGTCACAGAACCATGCAAGTTCACAGTAGAGAAGTATCTAAATTTCCAATG